CATTTCACAGCAGGGAAACGGAGGCTCAGGAGATCCAGCAACTTGTCCGAGGTCATATTAGCTAGGAGGTGGCAGAACTGTTACTGGAAGCGAAGGCTTTGAACTCCAAGTCCAGTGCTCATTCGATTCTACCCACAGCCTCCCTTCCTTTCCTCTCTCCATTGCTGCCCTGGCCCCTCTCTAGCACCACCTCTACTCTTCCTGTCTTTCTGAGCTGAATTCCTCCAGGCCTCTTTGGAGGAAAGGCTAAGGATACCCCTTGAGGAGAAAGGGAAGGGCAGGAGTAGAGCAGGCAACTGGAGAGTGGAGGTCAGGCAGCTACACTGCAAGTCCAGGAGGCATTATCTGCACTGTAGTCTATGCAAATGGACTCCCCTGGAGTTGTGCAGTGCACAGCCTGGGCAGCTGGATGCAACAACCCTAGTGAGGGTAGGGAATTGTGCTGGGCTTTGAAGTCAGGGTGAAATGAACCCAAGAAGTGTTGGGAAACCTAAATTGAACAGAATAGGTGGGTAGCGTTCTGGCCTGGGTTAAACCCTTAGGGGACCCAAGGCTGTGACAAAGATGACATTGGAAAGAGAGGGCAAGCTCAGTGTACCGGAGGAGTGGGGCCGAGCCCTGGGGAGATGATCTGAACTCAGTAAGCAGCCTAGTATGGAGAAGGGGCTTTGTTCTTCAAAAGCACCCCCCTACCCACAGAGCCCTGGGGGATGCTTGGCAGCACCTGGGAGGTGCCAGTCCTGGGTGGCGGCAGGGAGGGCTGGGTCCCACACTCACATTGTCTTCCGGTTCTCTCTCTTTCTCTGTGTCTGTGTCTCACTCTCTTCCCCCATGCCTGTGCCATCCTCCATCCCAACCCTGGCCCTGCTTGGCTTTCACTCCCCACCTTCTCCCCACCCACCTGCCCACCTACCGACCTGTAGCTTCTCCTCTTCCTGTCCCCTCCTCTTTCGGGGGGGGGGCGGCAAGATGGGCCTCTTCACACCTGACCTCGCTTTTGAAGGCACAGTGAAAAAGCAGGTGCAGAAGCTCAAAGAGCCCAGTATCAAGTGTGTGGATATGGTAGTCAGTGAGCTCACGTCCACTATCAGAAAGTGTAGTGAGAAGGTATGGCGGCTACCCGGGTGGGATTGGGTCTGGCCGTCCCTCCCTCATGGCGACAGCCTCCCATGGGCACTGAGCAGGCCTGGCAGCCTCTGGGCCACCCACTGGGATGCCCACGCTGGCCAGGTGATGCCTGCCCTGAGGTTTCATGCCAGCTTATAACCCTGTGTCTGCTTGTACTCACAATCCCTTCAGAC